CCATTTAATTTACCACCTAGTTTATGTGTTTTTAAGGTAGAATTTTGAGAGTTTTGGGCTAGGGATTTGAGAGTTAAATTTGGGGATTTGAGTGACGATTTGGTTTTGGAATTTGGGAAAATTGGTATGGTTGGACTCGTGGTCGAATGGGTGTTCGGATTTTGTAACTTTTGTTGGCTTCCGAGATGTGGGCCCGGGGTTGACTTTTTGACTTTTAATTAAGAAATTAGAATTTTTATATGGAATTGATTCCTATAGCTCGTGTTGATTGTATCGAATTATTTGTGGGTAGATTCTATGCGTTCGGTGGCCGATTCGCGATGCAAGGGCTTATTGGAGTAGAGATTTGCATGGTTTGAGGTAAGTAACACTTCTAAACTTGGTTCAGAGGGTACAAATCCCTGCATTACGTGTTATGTGATCGGTGTTGAGGTGACGAACATGCTGGGTGACGGGCGTGTGGTCGTGCACCGTAGAAATTGTGATCCGGCTGATTTTGTGGTATTGTGTAGTCATCATACCTTGTAGCCACTCATGTGATCTCTATGTGTTTGAGTAATTGAGCTACTGATTCATCTTAGAAATCATGTTAGGCTATATGTCTATCCTGTTGAGACCCACTGTAGTCATTTCTGCTGTTGAATTATTTGGTTAGATGGCAATTTTGTACTCAATCACATCCATTATTTGCATATCATATCTCAGTCTCTGTTACTATTAATGTTGTGTTATATATCATTATTTGGGCTAATCGACATGAGATTTGTTAGCCCGAGAGACTGGAGATATTGATGACTGAGTTGGGGCCTGAGAGTCATGCTGTGAGTGAGATGTGTGGTTCGGGTTGTACGCCGCAACAAGCCTTAAGGCTATATGTGGATTGGGTTGTGCGCCTCAACAAGACTTATGGATATATGTGGATCGGGTTGCGCGCCTCAACAGGCCTTAAGGCTATATGGGGATCGGGCAGCACGCCGCTACATGTACCGTACAGTGCTGACTGACTGAGTGTGACGAGCGAGAATTGAGACAGTGAGATTGAGTACTCTGAGAGTGTGAGAACTTGAGGTTTTCATTGTGTTGCATCACATAAGGTATTCATATTGGCATACAAATATAGAGATGTCATATTCCTCATATCAGTCACACTTGACATATTTTATCTGTGTTGAATTTAATTGTTAAACCTAGAAGCATGTTTACATTTTTCGTATTGTTAAACTATGTATTTTTATTGTATTGGTCGAGATCGTCACCGCCTTTAGCCCAAAGGTTAGACTTGTTTCTTATTGAGTTGGTTGTACTCATGCTACACTCTACACTTCGTGTACAGATCGAGGTAGCTGCTTTGGCGTCCGTAGACCTTGACTCTCCTCCTCTATCTCTTAGTTTTACTTATACTGTTCTACCTTCCTAGACAGTATTTCAGACTATGCTATTGTATAGATGCTCATGTACCCAATGCACCTGGATTTTGGGAAAATTGTATTCGAGTCGCAGTTTTTTATATCGGCTATTTATGAGAGTTATTATTGTTAAATTTGCTTCATCTTATTTTTATACAAAATGCCTAGTTTTATTATGAACGTCGGCTTGCCTAGTTCTGTGATAGGCGCCATCACGGCATTTTGAGTTTTGGGTCGTGACAGGCGTCTAGGGTTTCTGAAGTGAGAGAGAAGGAGAATGTTTAGGGGTGGCTGTCTTCGAGGAATGAGTGTTAGGGTTTGGGTTGGGTAGTTTAAAGATGGGAGATGGCTTATGGGCCATTGATCTCTGAGATCAACGTACAGCTGAGATCGAAGGAAAGAGTGGGGTGGATTGTTTAAAATGGATACCGACCGGGTTTATTAAAGGGGTCATTTGATTTGGGCTTGGGGTTATCGGGCTAAGGTTTTGGGGTCTGGGCTGGTGGATTGGGTCCGAAATTTGGCCTGTTTTGGGCTAGATTTTAAATAAAGAAATTAAGGGAAAAACAAATTAATAAAATAGATAAATAAATATAAAAATAGTATTTATGCAACTTAATATTTTAAAATAATGTCTGAAGATTATAAAAATATAAAAATATTATTCTGACTCTAAATAAAATGATAAATGCATTTAATTATAAAATATAGGATATTATTACAAAAAATGTGTAAATAGTTCAAAATTGCAAATGTAATTATATGAAATGAAGTAAAATGTTATAAAACATACATAGGTATAAATAATAAATTTGGATGATTAAATCACCTCAAAATAATTTTAAGGGATAATTAATAAATATTTGAATAATTTAAATACAAGAAAATTAATTTTAAAGCTATAAATATTATAGAAAATCATAGAAAATACTTATATGACTCTTGTAAATTGGGTAATAATGCAAAAATGATATTTTGAAAGTATATAGAATATTTTATAAAATATGAGGGGAAAATTGGGTATCAACAACAAAAGATCGGGTAAGGGCTTAAATTACCTCAAAGAGAAGGGGTTAGGTACTCTTCGAGGTCCACAACTGTGGGTTCCGGCCGAATTATACGCTATGTGGGATTATTTAATTGTAATTATCCTATGTGATCATATTTTTAAATAAGAGTAGGGGTTTAAAGTTAAAAATAAATTGCACGTAAGAAAGGAAAACGGATTATTATTAATAAATAGTTATACCATCCTTGTTGATTACAAGATATAACCTAAGTTCAAACAAGCGTACAAACAATAACGGAGGGAGGTCCTAAGTTTTTTATCCTAAAGGATCACCCCATGCAACATAAATAATACTTTGCAACTCCCATAAAGGTAAGGGTTGCTCATATTATTCAGCGGGCACAGACTATCATCTCTTGCTACCCTATTACTATTTTAAAGTTGTTTACGTAAAGCGTTCTAGTCAATTCTAAATCGCATGCTTACCCGTCCCATGCCTATGATCCAGGAGGCTTTGGACCTACTACTTTAGTAGTTCTAGACTTCACTTAGGATGCTCAAAAATAATAAAACTAGGCGCACAATCAAAACAATTAGGACCTCACACAATTAACAATTAAGGGCTCAATTAACCTCCACACATAGGCACAAGTGCATGCGCACAGTCATGAACTTATGCTAACAGTGTTCCGAATTATGAAGTGAACGACTGTAGGCAGATTTGGAGTAAAGATACCTTAAATAATTCAAGGTCTATAGGCATGATTTTTATATGATTGAATGACTCCATAAAATCCTATAGGTAGTACTTCTAGGCATATTATCTTGAGAAAGCTGCTGATTATAACTCCTATTAAAGATCTATAGGCATGATCTCTGGGCGATTTATATCTGGGCAGTGAGACCATTGAAGGCACAAAATTATTCATCTTTGGTCCTATAGGCGTGCTTTCTAGGTGACTAATAATATTCTATAGGCATGCTCTCTAATCAAAGTAATTGAGAACATACGCTTGCTTCATTTTTTTTCCTTCAGGCATGTCATCTAAGGCAGCAGTGTGATGAGAATAGCAGTAGCAGTAATTTCAATTGAAGTCCTATAGGCATGATCTCTAGATGGTCAGATTTGAAAATAAGTTTTTTTAAGCGCAAGTTTGTTTCATTAGTCCTATAGTCATGCTTCCTAGGCGAGTCACATAAATGCAAGAGGTATCAATGTAAACAGTTCTTGATTACTCGAATAAAATCTTATAGGCATGATGTCTAACAACACATAGAAATAGAACATGTTGAGCAAATAGCCAATAAAATATTTAGATCCTATAGGCATATTTTCTACCCTTTTATGCGAAACTTAAAGTATCCCAGCCCCCTCACTTTCATTAATTTCCCATTATTTGTCATTACAGATTATTGCATGCCCAATACAATAACACAAACTCAAATAAATGACCACAAGACCATCTAGGATGACTATAGGCTCTACATAGATACAAATTAAATCAGGTATTCTTCTGGCCTTTCGGACAAACTTGGGGCCTCATGTGGATGAACAGGCCCACACTCCGGATAGCTATAGATATGCTTCAACTCTCAGCACCAAACTAGTCTAATAGTTAGGCCCAAACAATACCTTGCTTACCCATTCGAGTGCCAAACCAAGTAGCAAGCTATATACCAGGCCAATCACACAACTTGGAGTCTACATACTTAGTTCTTAAGGCCGTGACTAACAGAGGATAGAAGTTTCCAAACCAAGGATATATAGACAGGATTACACCAAAGATTCATCAAGCATAAACAAGTTCAAAATGACATAATTGAATAGAAAATCATACAGAGTAGAATTTCAAAGTAAGCATGATTCATAGTTAGCTTAAAGGAGATTTTAGACATACGATTCTTGTGAGCACGTAAATTTTGTCCGATATGGAAATTGCTCCTAAAACATTCCAAAATAAACTTTAATTATTTTTATAGAACTTTAGGAATTTTTTTATATTTTTATTTGATTTGTTTTGCACGTATTTGTGTCTCATGCATTTTTAGTAGCATTTTTAAATCATGAAAATGACAAAAATATTTTTTATCTTTCATTTGTTTATATTGATAAACTTTAACTGCATTTTTAGCACTTAGTTGCAGGTTTAATTGCGTTACTAAAATAGAAAATCACAAAAAAGTGTTAAGTTACTTTGCATTTTTGCATTTTAGGTGTAGTTAAATAGTTTTTTCTTTTAATTTGTAAAACTAATAGATTAGGTTTAGGTATTAAAATAGATAATGAGGTTAAATTTGAAAAATAGGCTTTAATTATAATTTTAAGCTAAGTGGCTAACTTTGAAAATCAAAACAAAAGAGAAGAAGGTTGATTGCTTTACACTTTGAACTGGGCCAAAAATTAGACTGCCCAGTTTCCTTAAGTCCGCCCAAATACCCAGTCCAGCCCAGTCCCCACAAGGTCCAGCTCTTACTAACACCAAACGACGTGGCTTTGGCGTGGTTAATCTAAGCCTTTTATTTCTATGGATCTTACGGCCAGGGACTGATTTCTCCCTTCCCATATAACGGTCGGAATGCGCCCCACCTACCTCCAAAATTACCTCTCAGACCTCTCCGATATCCCTCACCATTCCCCCGCCTCCCCCCGCTGCCGGAAATTGCCCACGGCAGCGGCACAACCCCAAACCACCTCAAATTATCACCCTCTAGTCCCAAGACCACCCTCAGTCCAAATCTATTATTGGTTTCCCCAGAAAACCCCTCAATAATGTCGAATAGTAGATCTAGGAAACACTAAAACCTAAATCCACCCCATTTTTGTTTTTTATTTTCTCAAATACCAGTTTGTTTGGGCTTAATACTAACACCAATCGACTTCTCTCGTTGAGTATTATAGATTGGCGTTGGTTTCGCCTCGTTTTAAGACCGTCAGAATTCGGTCAAACTCCGGTTGACTGTCCTATTCATCCCTTCCTCGCTTCGCTTCCTTTCTCCGGCCAGTAGGAGATATTGGTATATAAAACATTGGATTGCTCGGATAAATCCGGCCCATGTTCATGTGGCAATCTCTCTGGCTCGCCATAATATTCTCTAGTCGTTTTGATTAACCTCAATAGGTATTGCCTCCCTTTATTCCTTTCATTTTTATTTCTGTTCTTATGTGTGTTTGTTGTTTCTGTCAATTCATATGTGCATAATCACATGCTATAATTGTTGATTAAGGGTCTTTTTCTATTATTCTGATTTCATGTTTAGCTGTTTAGTTGATCTCATGAACTAGCCTGTTCAAATTCTTTTGTTAATTCCCTTTTGTTTATCATTAGTGATTAGTTATTGTTTTTAGGTCTTAGTTGATTTTGGGTCGTGTTAGTAATTATCACAACCCAATTCCATTTTTGGCCGTGATGGCGCCCAGCACCATTGCTAGGCAAGCCAACAATGAACAATCCAGTCATTTTCCCATTTTAATATATTTTTTCCAAGTAAATAACTTTCCTTAATTTACTAGGTTTAGTAAGAAACAGATTTAAATTAATAAAACGAAAGCAACTGAATGTATTTGCGGCCATAGGAATAAAAGCAAAATCACAAGTCTACTAGTGTGTGCCAAGATCTGGTGTCACAAGTGTGTGGGCTACTAGTGTAATATATAAAAGATCTCTACTCTACCGTATGAAATAGAATAGACAGAAAATAAATCAAACGAGAGACTCTGGCTGCTGCTGAACGGCTCGGAAGGGAAGATCGCCGTGTGGTCTCGGACCAGAAGTCAAGCGTGCGCGCCAGACTGATAATCAAATTCACCTGCCTCATATCCTGTACGACAAGTGCAGAAGTGTAGCGTGAGTACATAAACAACATGTACCCAGAAAGTATCTAGTCTAACCTCGAAGAAGTAGTGACTAGAGGTCGACTTCGACACTTACTATGGGCCAAAAATATAAAAGTATGAAGTTCTAATTAAACATGATATATAAACCGATAATAGTACTCAGAGCAGGAAAAATAAGTAAACAATCCTTCCATTTCAAGTAAGAACCAAGTCATTTCTCTCGTCTAATCCTTTCACCTTTCAAGTTCATGGAACAATATTAAATATAAAGGGAGTTCCAATATCTTTACGCATGAATTATGCCGAGGACGTACGACCCGATTCAAATATACATATAAATATATTGTGCACCACCGAGTGTCGAACGGCCCGAACCATAAATACATCGATTAACCTGCTGAGGCGAACGATCCGCTCCCATGAGATTAGTGAAAATTTACCCCGCTCGCGGAATATACTTGCGAAGCGGTTGAGTATAGATTTTTTCAAGTTATCACAATATTTCTCAATTCTTTTCGAAATAAGAAATTCAGCTAGGAACCTTTAAAATATTAAAATCCTCAACCTCCGCTTTAATCCAAATACATAGTTTGCATAAACAAGCAACGGTATCAACAAAAACATAGTGTAAGCCTAAATCTATCCGGACATAAGCATGAATAGTAGCTATGCACGGACTCTCGTCACTTCGTATGTATGTAGCTCCCGTAAATAGTAGTACATAATGACTAAATTCACCTATGGGGTTAATTACCTCTTACAAGGTGAGATAAGAGACTTACCTCATTTCAAGGCCTAATTTCCGGTCCAAGAATGTGCTCACACCCTCAATTCAGTGCCGAATCAATCCAAAACTAATCAAATAGTATATAAACTAATCAATACATGCTCAAAAGTTCGTATTCTAACTCTTAAAGGGATTACCCAACCCCAATTGAAGAATTTCCAAAATTCACCCCGGGCCCACATGCCCGGATTTCGGAACTATTCGAAGAAAATTATTACCCATAACCTCATGAACTCAAATATATGATGTTTTTTTTTACTAAATTCCATAACAATTTCGTGTTTAAATCTCATTTTTGTCAAAATCCTAGGTTTTCACCTAAACCCATGACTTTCACTAATTTACTTGTTATAATCTACCCATGAACCATGTATTAAACTCACATTGTGTGGAAATTATCTACCTCAAGGCGCTAGGTGAAATCCCTTCTCTAAGAGCTCCAAGATTCGCCCAACAATGAAAGAAAATGAGCCAAAATAGCCCTAGTCCCATTTTTAAAAGATGATTCTGCCCAGGGGTCCTTATACGCGATCGCGGCCAAGCACTCGCGATCGCAATGGCTAAACTGAAGAGCCCAGGAAAAGGCTCTATGCGAACACGAGAGGACCTATGCGAACGTGATGCACTGGGGCGCTTACTCCTCGCAAATGCGGGGCCCAACATGCGAAAGCGTAAGGCAACTGGGTCGCCCAGGCCCAGGCCTAGGCCCAGGCTTCTACGTGAATGCGACCTTCTCCATGCGAACACGAAGGGCAAAAACCTCCAGTCCCCAAATCCTTCACCGCGAACGTGAGGATCTGTCTGCGTTCGCTAAGAAGGAAACCAGAACAGAAAATCTAGTATTTTGAACTTATCTCAGGGCGGTCCGAAACACACCCGAGCCCCTCGGGACCTCGTCCAACTACACCAACAAGTCTATAAACATAATACGAACTTGATTGAAATCTCAAAATGCGTAAAACAACAACAAAAACAAGAATCATACCCCAAAATCGAATTGAATCAAAATATGAATTCCAACTACAAATTTTGGATCTGGAAATACAAAAATATCAAAACAAAAACAGAAGAAAAACAGATGAAACGTAGACTAAAAGAGAGATCTCTGCAATTGTTTGAAGCTGCAGCTGTTCATCTTCATACTTTTGGGTTTCTAAATATTTTTAGATCATAAAATGTTGTTGATTTTGGCTGTTCCTGAGTTGCTGAGCTGCACTCCTTAGTTTCAGACCTTTGCCTGGTTTATTCTAGCTGATTTTCTGCATTGAGGTATGTTTTACACTATGTAATCATCGAGCTTGAATCAATGAATGCAAATATGGTGTTTTAAATGCCCTATCATGTGTTTAGTTTGCTTGGTTGTTACTGATGTCCATGATTCCTTTTAGGTGTATTGATGTTTGCTTTACTAGTATGTGTTGAACATTTTACTTAGCCTCGTTTTGTATATGTATGAATATCAAATCAGCCTAAGTGCAGTAGTTTGACTAATTTATGCCTACTGATGTAATGATGTTCAGAGGGTTGAGTTGTAGGTTTGATCACCAGTTGGTCAAATCCATCCAATAAGTAGACTAAAGCAACAAAGTTGGCTCATGTGATTTTGTTGCCGCATTGTCACGGAAGCAGTATAATAATTATATCTATTTAGAATTGTTTAGGCCAGAATTGTAAAGTCAATTACGATTCACACAAGGTTATCTATGTGATAGACTCATTTGAGTTAAAGTGTCAGTTTCTTCTTGTTAAATATATTGATCTGTTACAGGCATAGTTAATTTGTAATATTAAAATGGATGAGGATTTCATTTGTAGAATCTGCTTAGTTCTCTGCACTTAGTGTCATGTATGTACTGGGCCTGGCGGGACTATTTTCTAGGCCTTGATGGGGTTTGGCCATGTTTCTAAAATGCTATCACATCTTGGGCTTCATCTCTCAGCCCAATTCTATTTGTATTTGAACCTGTCGGAGATTTAGTTTTAGCCAGAACAATCAATGTCAGTTCAATGACACACTGGCAAATTATTGAAATAAGCAGAATTCATTCAATTAGAGCTATCAGGTAAACATCAGCCTCTATTCAACAAAATTAGATAGCCTCCTTTAATCATAATTCTCAAGTCTGATTCTTAGCCCCTTTCCAAATAATTCTTTTCAAACAATTTGTTGATGCCTAAAGGGTTCAACGCTAGGTTGTTAATGATGTATTTAACTCTTATAAACTTACCCACATGTCATTTACATAATCTTGGACTTTCACAATAATCCCAAGTTATAATTTTGAACATTGTAGTTTGCTTTATACGCGATTAATAAAATATTGTGACTATGGGTACGGTACTACGGTTCCCATGGTATAGTCAAGATACATATTTCCACATTCGAGTGCATGCTCATGTAACTTGACTTTAACTTCAAAGTAATAATAAAATTAAGCATGTCGTAAATTGCGGGTGCGTTTCACGTGGCGCGATTTACGATGTGTATGAAACGACAAGTGTACAACGTCGTAACTTTTTTAAAAATAAATCCATAAACATGTAAAATATTTTTTAATAATTAAAAGCAGTAAAAAGGTAAAATGCACATAGGTTTGAAACACGTAATTATCAGATAATGACGCTGAGTGTAATTGTAAAGCGACCGTGCCAAAACAACTAAATCTGGGAGTGCCTCACACCTTCTCCCGAGTTAACAGAATTCTTTACCCGATCTTCTGTGTTTCGTAGACTTTAAACAGAGTCAAATTTGAACAGTATTTTCGTTCAGATTTATCTTTACATGAAAAGTGGCCAGATTTCGATTACATTTGAAATTGTGGCTATTTTTCAATTACCACTTGTAAATCCGGCTAATTTTGAATTTCACCAATAACATCAGGCTGGGCGATTTGCACAGGTAGCCGGTTTTGGGGGTGTCTGTGTATATCTAGCAAAATTTTAAAAATTATTTAGTTTTTAGCCACTTTAAAGTTTCAGTCATTCGGGGACTAAATTTGAACTGTTTTTGCCGATCTTCGGGTTTTCAACTTTAGTCTTTTTTTTTTTGGTTGAAGTTGAATAGAAGTATTAAACGACATTCAACTTCAACCCAAAAAGATTGAAGTTAACGTTGTGAACTTAATTTGCCCATCTTTAACCCTGAAGGGCTGAAATTTTTAGTCACTTTGAAACTTCAATCCTTATGGACTGAAGATAGGCAAAAAAAGTTTCAAATTTAGTCCCCAAAGGACTGAAGTTTTAAAGTGGCTAAAAAGTAAATAGTTTTTTAAAATTCGCTAAAAATTAAAAGGCAATGGTAAAATAGGCTGCTGGGCGAAATTTTGACCATTAGGGTGGGGTTTAGGGCCGAGTACCATGCAGTGTCAATTTTCCAAATGGTTAGACCGGATCTGTAATGATCTGCACGGTGCACGCTTTATCAGTCTAACCGATTGGACGGAACCGGTTTGGATTTTGATTTTTTATTTTTTTTAAAAGGGACTTTTTCGTATATATACAAGATTTTAAACTTATTTACCCGGTTTGTCTAAATTTTCATATTTTCAACAAGTAACAAAAGTTTTTTACAAAATATATACAAATCCGGTCAAAATCTACAATTTATCTACAACATAAGTACATATTTTTTGTACAGAATCCGGTTAAAAATTATAATTTACATACAATTTATATACAACTTATATATAATTATGTAAGTTGTAGATATTTTGTATACCGTTTCTACATTCGACATACAAAATATATACAATTTGTTCATATCTTCTTTTTCGAGTTTCAATATGAAATTTCAACTAAAACCTACTCGAATTTTCACCAAATTGTCTCAAATTTGAGATATAAACTCCAACGAATATTCTTAATCATTTGCAACAACACCCAATCCAAACAAAAAATAATTTCATAAAATTTTATTTTTGAATTCAAAGCTTTGAAATTTTTTAATGGCCGTCAATAGAATTTTTAATGGATTAACATAGTTTCCAATTCAATCTACTCGCTTATAATTAATACTATTTTATTTATTGATTCCAAAAAGCTAAAAGAATGATAACTAAAATGATTCTCTTCATCAAACTAATTTTTTTCTTATTTACTTCCTTGTTTTCATAGGATCTGAAGCAAGAATTTTGCTAGGTACTAATCTTCTCTCTTTTTGTCCACTTAACATTAGTATCATTTCTTCAGTTAATCCACATGAAGATATTAATATAAGAATACTAATAGAGAATGAGAGAGAGAGAGAGAAGAGAGAGAGAGAGAGAGAGAGAGAGAGAGAGAGAGAGAGCGGAAAGGGAATTCTCTATTCAATTCCTAATATAATGGGATACTCATTAATACTAATTTGTATATAATTGATAAATTGTATATCAATTTGTAATTAAGTTAAAACCTAAACAGTGAGGGTAAATAAGTTTCTAATGTAGTACATATAGGTAAAAATCTCCTTTTTAAAATAGCCATTGGCTCAACGGCTAGAAATTGAACTGTTGGCCACCCAACGACTTCTTTTGCAACAGATAGCCACTTTCACGTGTGGAATTTATTTTTTGTCCCCCATCACCAAAATCTTAGTAAAATATAGTCCCACTGTTTCACTTTGTATGTCACGATATCCTTTTAAGTCCGTTTAGAAAAGTATGTCATCTTTTTATATTTAAAAATAATTTAATTTTAAAATTTTCACTTTACCCTTAATAAAATAATTTATATCAACACAAATATCTAAACGTTATTTTAGACCAAAAGTCTTAAAAGTCTTCATTTCTTTCTTAAACTCCGTGCCGATTCAATATGGCATGCAAAGTGAAACGGAGGGAGTACTTTGGACATTTCTAAAATTATAAATACCCCATAATTTCTTCAGTTGCGATCCTTCCACACTATATAAGGGTAAAATCGGGCTAATGAGCAACCCGATTTTTCGGAGGGGCAAACGAAGCAAGGACATAACTACATGGAATCAGATCTAGGAACCTCTCGTACTAAGGTCCGAGCGAAGCACTTACCACCGAAGCCATCGAGATGGTNAAGGTCGTGATATCCGCGCTCAATCGGATATCACGGCGTGGATCTCGGCCTGTATCGACAGCAGATTAGTGATTAACTAAAAAGAAGATTTTGACCTTTCTTAGAATTATACTAGGGATGAAACTCTCCTACTATATAAAGGGAGTGGTTTTTATTCAAGAAACACAGTGTAACACGCGTGTCAAGGCAATATAAACTTGTTTTCTCTGCTTAAAGGTTACTCAAAAGTTCTCATTTTGTTCATAGATTTTCATATATATTTTGGCTCCGAATCAAAGGCAGACTAATTGTTAAGTTTAGACCCGATCCCGGACTCAACACTACATTTGGTTTGGCAATTTATTTTATCTTTAATTTGCTGCTCTAGCGATATTAATCACTTGTATTGAATTAATCAACATATCCTTACAACCGTGTATAAATTCAATTCCATTTTTATAGATAAACAGTTTGGCGCCCACCGTGGGTCTAAGAATAATAGTGGTAGTTTGATAATAATTTCTATAACACACCTTATTTTATGCCTATTCTCTAAGATTGTAATTTCAGGTTAGCTTGAAAAATATCAAACTCTCAGTTTGCTCACTTGAACGTTGATGCTGAGTCTGGCCATCATAGTGAAAACAACAATATGGTACCTAGAAATGAGGTTCCCCCTACTGATCCCAACGGAGTCCCAGTTACAGACCCAGTAGATGCCAACTCGCATGTGGCCATCGAAGCCAACCTACTTACCGATCATGAGAACAACGTTCGTGGAGGAGCCCAACCTACGGCTCGAGGGGCGCTCGAAAGCGAAGGCGACGAGGTCAGTCTACGATTGATATTCAAAATGTTACAGGCCCAACAGGCGGCGGTAGCACAACTGCAAAATCAAAGTCGCGCCCGCAGCAGATTTGAGCCCGAACCATCCCGGGAAAGCACCCAAAGAAATTAACAAGTCACAAAAGGCCGGGTGGAGCTGAGCCCGGGACCAACCCCGAAATAATGAAAATGCTTGAGGAATTGACAAAGCGGGTGGAATTAGGGGAGAAGAAAATTGAGGCCAACGAAAAAAAGGTGGAGACCTATAACTCCAGGGCCGATCAAATCCCAGGAGCGCCCCAGATATTGAAAGTCCTGGACTCCAGGAAATTCATCCAAAAACCTTTTCCTCCGAGCGCGGCACCGAAGCCAATCCCGATGAAGTTTCGTATGCCCGATATTCCGAAATATAATGGGACCACAGATCCAAATGAGAACATGACCTCCTATACGTGTTCCATCAAGGGGAACGACTTTGAAGACGACGAAATCGAGTCGGTTTTGCTAAAGAAGTTCGGAGAAACTCTGTCAAAAGGAGAAATGACATGGTATCACAACTTACCCCCAAATTCTATTGATTCATTTGCTATGCTTGCAGATGCTTTTGTGAAAGTGCATGCCAGAGGCATCAAGGTCGAGACCAAAAAATTAGATCTTTTCAAGGTAAAACAAAGAGACAATGAAATGCTCAGGGAGTTCGTATCAAGGTTTCAAATGGAACGGATGGGCTTGCCTCCGATTGCGGATGATTGGGCCGTTCAGGCATTCACTCAAGGACTTAACCCGCATAACTCCTTGGCTTCACAACAGCTAAAATAAAATTTGGTAGAGTATCCGACAATAACTTTGGCCGACATCCACAACAGGTACCAGTCAAAAATCAGAGTCGAGGACGACCAGCTCGAGGCCCCTTCTGGATCCATTTATCCCATCAGAACCGAAGACAGATCTAAGAAAGTCGTCAATCATGAATCAAGACCGGTCCGAGACCGGTATCAACCGCATAACGGAGATCGAAGGGGTAACGGATCTGGGCGTCACCAAGTGAGGAACGAAAAAAGGAACGATCGAGGCCACTGTGGCCGAGGTTTGATGAGAAAAAATGGTTTCGATAGGCCACTCGGGGCCAGGGCGGTACCGAGATTATC